TAATATAAAATAAAAATGTCAACTTCCTTTGAGAAATCACACACTCATAGAAGTGTATACAATATTCATACATGCATTGATCAAATTCAAATTTGACATATACGCATTGACAGAACATACGTATTCTATGTACTACAGGCAATCCCCACTCTTCGCGGTTCTCAGTATTCGCGGTTTCACTTATTCGCGGTTCTTTAATTGAGCCATTGTTTCGCTATTCGCGGGAGTCGGATTCGCTTATTCGCGGTTTACTTCACGGTTGTTTAGTAATAATTTTAATAAAGCTGTGATGGATTTGGGCCAAAAGCTCAAGATTTTGGAGCTAATAAAAGAAGGAGAAAAAATTGTCATAATTGCACGTAGATTCGAGGTTAATGAGTCAACTATTAGGCCTATCCGCAATAACGGGGATTCTGTTTCGGTATTCGCCGTTTCGGTATTCGAGGTGTTTTTCGGGAACGAATTAACCGCGAATAGCGGGGATTGCCTGTACCTTAAATGCACAAGCACGAGAGAGAAAGACAACAGGATATTTGCATAAAAAAAAGTAATGATATTTTTGAAATCAACATATATGAATTATCAATGAATATTTTTTTATTTTTTAATTTTTCATTGCGTTTTTACTTAAAAATGTATCGTTTCAAAAAATAAAACTTTTCAAACGGCCGAAAACGCGCCGAAGCTGTGCGAGCGGACCGTGACTTATCAGTAAACGCATATATAATAGGGTGTACCCCTTTTTTAAATATTTCGAATAAAAAGAATAAAATAAAATATATCTCAGGAGCCGAGTGAAAAACTGTAAGATGGTATATTTTTGCAGGTCTGTGCACAACATGGGTGCTGAAATCAAAAATTTTCAGCTCGGAGTAGCACGAGGCAAATAAATACTAATGTGGAAATGAAAAGCTTTGCGATTTTTTTTCTCCCATAGGAAGGGTTTAACGAAAAATTTTCTCTGAAAAAAAAGTGCTTAATTTTGATCAAAGAATATGTGTGAATTTTTTCAGATTTTTTCGGACCATTTTTGGATTTTTGGCGTTCGTCAATATTTCCAAAAATATTTCCAAAAATATTGACGAACGCCAAAAATCCAAAAATGGTCCGAAAAAATCTGAAAAAATTCACACATATTCTTTGATCAAAATCAAGCACTTTTTTTTCAGAGAAAATTTTTCGTTAAACCCTTCCTATGGGAGAAAAAAAATCGCAAAGCTTTTCATTTCCACATTAGTATTTATTTGCCTCGTGCTACTCCGAGCTGAAAATTTTTGATTTCAGCACCCATGTTGTGCACAGACCTGCAAAAATATACCATCTTACAGTTTTTCACTCGGCTCCTGAGATATATTTTATTTTATTCTTTTTATTCGAAATATTTAAAAAAGGGGTACACCCTAATATATATAGGTATACAAATTACATACAGCAGCCGACTTAGGTTATAAGTATAACGTCACAGTTATACGGACCAATCCAAATCGTTTGTGGAGTTCAAAATAATTTTCGAATTTTTTTGATTTTTATTCTCGTATTAAAAATTACCGGACTGTTCAAAATTGTTTATTTTTTTACTCCCACATTCCTTGATACGTATATTTTACTATAACGTAATTATTTCAGTGATTTTTTTTCATGCAAATACCCTACTAAACGTATAGGTCAGTGACAGCTGACTGCCATTGCTTACGCTATGTTGTATCGTGTGTGTATACGGCAGCAGCAGATGCAGTCAGCGAGTTCGATGCAGCTGATGCGGCAGCCAATCATAGCGCTCGCTCGTTTTTCATGGATTTATTCCTCTACCGAACAAGCTTAGATACATAAAAAATGAGAAACAAAAATTTTAATAATCATATCTTACTTGACATATCAAGTCCTCAACGGCAAAATTCCATTCTTCGAGAATAATCAGCTGCTCGAAGTTTGAACATCTTATAAGATTTGAATGGTCTCAAATTCTCAGATTTCAGGATTTTGTGAACGGAGCTACGTTTAACATCTTCAAAAGAAAATTAAGATTTAGAGTTCAAAATGCATTTACCATTGTCAAAAATAGTGCAATAAGTGTAATACTTACCACAAATCGCAGAAATTGTTCTAATACCTCTTCTCGGATTTTCCACGTGCGCAGCCAAAATCCTTTGACGAAGTGGCCCATTGACAACCGGTTTTGGTCGACTAGCTCTTGGAGGGTCTACTACATCATGCACAGCCACCGTCCGGAGAAGTCTAACAATTTCGAATGATTTTGAAATGAATTAAAAACTAGAATATAAAAAATTTACCTGTAAAAAGATGTACGACTTGGTATTGGTCGAACTCTGGAGTACCTGACGGAGAATTCGGTAGAAATGTAGCCTTAACTACATTATCATCCCATTTGGCAAGAGACCGAGCTGCCTTGTATGTATTTGCTTGAGACTTAAATTCATTTTTATTAATATGCGCACAAAACGAATAATATTGTGACGTGCGAGGTTTTGGGCACTAGCCCATGCTCGGCCTGCCGTCTAATTATTTCTTACTGAGGCTCCCGTTAGCCTATCGTTGAGTCTTACCTCAGAAGGGGTCGAGCCGCCACCAAGTGCGCCGCGAGCGTCGGCAGTCCAAGCTGAAAATAAGTGAGAGAGGGTCGCGAAGAGACTACGAAGAATGTACTTTTGCACACAAATAATCGTCCTTTATTTAACTCCGACTTTCAACTATCACTCATACAATCATCACTGCAATCGCGCTTCATTTCGCAATGTCATCTCATTTCTTATCATTATCATCCTCTCATGCCTCGGACGTAACTGATTATACGCGAGTCCAAGGGGAAAACGCGCGGATTACAATGTTAGTCCGACGCGAGTCCCAGTCAAGTGCCGCGTACTTGCACTGCGCGCAATCGGCTCGTTTCTCCGAAATACGGTCGACGCCCTCGCTCTGCTCGCGCTAGCAGACGCGCGATTTGGTCACACACGACCAAGACGAAGCGCGCTATCTCGCTTGCTCTTACAGGAGCGTCCAAGGCGGAAGTACCGCTTCGCAAAAATGGCCACGCGCCGACCTGAAACGCGACACGTGGACTCGAACCACGTCTTGAATCCTAGGTACTCGCTACAATTACTCCGATCTCCACTACTCGTACCCCAACGATTCTACGGCGAACTTCTTATTTTCTCTTCTACATTCACACTACGCAATCATACAACACTCTCACACATCCGCGCGACCGACCAAGCTTAATCCAATTTACAACCTTCTCCGTCGCTCCGTTGCCTCGGCCTTTATTCTCGATGTTGACTCCCGCTGTCCCCCAGCTGCTCCGTACTCGTGGTCTGCCCGGTCCAAGGGCTCTTGCCTCGCCTCGGAGATGCCTCGGACGATTGATCAGAAAAGTCGCTGTACAGCGAATCGCGCGGCTCGCTGCCTTCCGAGCCTCACGATCGCCTCGTCACCTCGCAACTCTTCTCTCGTCGCACTGCACTCCAGGCTTAGGCTCAACCTCTCCACGAACACAACACACGAACTTCCGCTGCACGCACAGCTTGTTCACGACCGACTCTACCGCTGCCACACAGCTTGTTCACGACCGACTCTACCGCTGCCACACAGCTTCTCTACGACAACTCTACCGCTGCCACACAGCTTCTCTACGACAACTCTACCGCTGCCACACAGCTTCTCTACGGTCAACTTATCTGCTGCCACACAGCTTATCACTCCGCCATTCCACCGCTGCCACACAGCTTCACACTCCGACACACGTCCGTTCTACCTCGCGGTCTAATTGCGAATCCCTGTGTGCACTGTCGCGCAGATCGACGACGCATCGAGCGCGAAGCGCTCGATTCGCACGGCTCGATCTACTCTTCAGTGCACGTAGTCCGAAAGCCGCGTCCGAGGTTAACTTGGCTCCTCCTTTGCCCTGAACCTCGAACGCGCGCTCTAGTGATACTTCGATTTTCCTACTTTATCATCCTTTCGGTCGCGCATCTCACTCGCACATTCACACATTACAGCTTGCGTCATTTTCGCGATTTACCGCTCAGTGACATCGTCACAATATTTAAATGGAGGTTAATTCGATATTTGCAATAGCTATGACAATGAACATGAACATATTCAGAAACAAGCTATATAAGTTCATGAAAAAATCAATAAAAAAAATGAAAAGTTATAATGACTCATAATATGACAATACGATTCTGTGTAAAACCCATCAATAATAAACGATTCATTAATACGGTGTAGAACAAAAAATCAGTATAAGTTGTAAAAAAATAAAATTTTTACTTACAAAAATAAAAATCAAATCCCGGTGATTTGATGGAAATTCCATTCGACGGTACCGCATACCCCGGGCGTATTCCATTGACAAAATTACATCCATGACGGCGCTGGTTGAATTGGATCAACCAAAAAAAGCCCCTTTCATGATTTTTTGTCGTCGGTCGTCGCTCGTGGACATTCAAATCCCGGTGATTTGATGGAAATTCAATTTGACGGTGACTGCATACCCTGGCCTTGTCTCATAAAAGAGATTATATCCATGACGGCTCTGGTTGACTCGGACGTGTCATCGAAAGCCAATTTCATGATACTTTCTGGTCAGTCGTCACTCGTCTAGGGGGGCGGAGCCCCCCTAGTTAAATATATATATTTATCATTTTTTTCCAAATTTGTTCATCCATTCTTACATTTCGACTATCTAACCTACATTACATTGTACATTTTTACTCTCGTTTGATGTTTCAGAATCAATACTTGCACGATCGCAATGTTTGTTCATTAGCATTCAAAGCGCATCTATGCGCTTGGGGTCATGCGTCAAAACAACAGCCGAATGAGGACATTCGCAAGACTCTCGATGTATTTATGTAATTTATTGTTTTACTTCAATTATCTCAGTTATTATAAAGGAAGAACAAAAATTCTACATGACTAAGAAGCGGTGGAAGGCACTGTCTGATTGCCCTGTATAAAAAGTAATTTCTTATTGTACTTACACCAGAGTATTGTTGACATATTAGGCCAATTTGTTGCAGATCATCAAAAGAACAGCAAGCTGTTGTACCGAGAGTTATTGAGACAAAAAATGGTACGTATCCTTCAGCTATATCAGCCTCCATAGCCTGTAATTTACATAAATTTGATTATCTTTTTGATTCTAGTTTGTTGATAACATTTTTTACAAGTATGCAATCAATTTAAAAATCATTTGTAGCTATTATAACGAGCCTAGATTCAGGATTGAACAAACTCAACCGTGATATGTTAAATGTTGTCTAAATACCCGTTAATACTGCTGTGGGAGGGTGGGAATGAATTCGACGATAGATTTTACAAAATATCACAATTTATTTTGCTTACTCGTTGGAGGATTATAAAGACTGGTTACAGTTGCTGACCTCGGGTTGCACGGCAATCACTACTTGGATTACTCCTTGCTCGCGACCTCTATATTCTCTCTCCACTCAGACACTCAGTCCGCACGGTTCATACACGTTATTCGTTCACTCCATCTCCGCACGGTAACTCAGAGTTGCACACACTACCCACTCTTACACGCTGTACACGCTTGCACTCGTCCACGCACTAACTGGACTCTGACTTGAAAGAACTGACTCATTTCTCGTAACGAACCACACGAAAATTTTAAAACGAAAGAGCTAAGTAGTCCGGGCGCTGGTGACATTTGAGTGAACTTGCGAGATCCCCTCGGCGAGTTGACGGATTTCTATGTTTTTTGGGTCGCTGAAACCGAATTTGAAGGTCGCCAGGCCGAATTCCTGGTCAATTTTTTGTTATAAACAAATCAATTGTTTAAACAGCCATATCTTGAAAAATATTGAAGATAGATCAAAACAATTTGTTTTTATTTTATTCATCTTTGAAAAACAAAGAAATTCCATTAAATTAATTGAAAATCCGTTCACTAGAAATAAAGTTATGCAATAATTAGTGTAAAATACGTCTTTTTTCACCTTTCAACCTCTGTAACTCTGAACTCATGAACCAAGGCTGTAACTTGGCATCTACTGGACCGATTTCCTTTCTAAACTGCGTTGCTATGGCCAAGCCATGCCAGCGATATCAAATGACTTACAAGGAGACCACATGAGATGCGGGTCACCAAATGTCCTGAAAATTTTTTTCTGGTCTCCTGGTATCTAATAATAAAGCCCTCTATGCTTAGTTTGATCCAATGGGCCTTAGGGCCCATTTTAAAAATCATTTTCTAGTTTATTGAAAAATCTTTGTGATTTTCTAACTCGTAATAGGACATTTTAAACGGAAAATTGCACTATGTACAAGTCTCAGAATTAGTCAAAGAATACATTTGAATTTTTTCAGAATTTTCGAGACCTGCTATCACCTATTTTCAAAGGCCCAAATTTAATTTTTTACTTTTTTCTTAAGAATTTCAGAGACCTTTGAAAATAAGTGATTGTAGGTTTCAAAAATTCTGAAAAAATTCAAATGTATTCTTTGACTAATTCTGAGACTTGTACATCGTGCAATTTTCCGTTTAAAATGTCCTATTACAAGTTAGAAAATCACAAAGATTTTTCAATAAACTAGAAAATGATATTCAAAATGGGCCCTAAGGCCCATTGGATCAAACTTAGCATAGGGGGCTTTATTATTAGATACCAGGAGACCAGAAAAAAATTTTCAGGACATTTGGTGACCCTCATCTCATGTGGTCTCCTTGTTAGTTTTTTTTTTATCAATGAACACGTGCCCGCATATTTTCGAGTTTTCAAAGTTTTTACGGCTGCTAGGATATGACGTAACACTATCAGTACTTATGTAAACGGTGCAAGGCATGTTCTACAAGATGGGGCAAAAAATGTATGTTTTGGGAAATCGTAATATAAGTTACCAAAGCTATTTAACAAACTTAAAAAGAAAGCACGTGGAAGCTAATCCCTGGCAAATGAGTAATTCTACTTTAATCTGACAGATGCGGCTGTTTTTTAATGATTTTTCAGAATTTTCTTATTTTATTCTAGTTTTTATGCATGCATACGTGAAGAAATTTTTATCCTTTTTTCCCACGATCGAACTTTGAAAGAGTATCATAAGCAACATAACTTCTGGCATCACGAGTCAAAATTTGGCTTTTAAAAATTGTTTAGGCTAATACCAGACGATTTTCCAAGTCCCTTTAATTCATTTTATTCTCTGCATATTCGAAATCTTTTCATTTCGAATTTAACTTTCAAGAAATTTTCACTCCACTCGTTTCCAATAAGTATGAGATATTCTGTACGAGAAACAAAAGTTGTTCGTGGAGAAACTGTGGATTGAGTGGTCGTCCGTTTAGTTGTTGTGAAACTTGTGTGTGCAGCGTTAGAACGTAGTTTTTGTGTTTGTATTCATGTTCTTGAGGTTGTGTGTGAGGCAAAGAGTCTCGGAGAGTGACTTCAAATACAAGTGAAGTGTTGCGCCTCCTAAGGTCTCATTAGGGAATTGCTACAAGGAAGACATTCATGACGGTCAGAAGCTGCGCGCGCAAAAAGTTCCGTGACCTGTCAGAAGAATAGTACATGTATATTTTATTTTTAATTGCGTTTTGTTATAAATCATTTTTTCATTTATCTCCTTTGTTATTCACGAGTTTAGTAGGTCGACTGTGGACGTAGAAATAGCAGAAAGTTAATCTAGCGCAGCGAAAAAATCTTCGATTTTTAATTGTTTACTAGCGGCGTTCCTCGCTCGCTAACGCTCGCTCGTTGTTTATAACTAATCAATGCTACCTCCGCAAGTAAAAATAAGGATAAAGACATAATCCGCAAGTGAGGAGAAATTTTTTAAGCCCACCCCCGATCAAAAATATTAACATTTATAAAAAATTCCGCTAACTTAACGAGTCTGCATGTACTCGCGTTGCTAGGCAACGCGCGGCCCCCACCGCTGGCGCCCGCTTATATAAGCGGGCAAATCGCAGCGGTAAGGCAGATTCGGCTCTAGCCAAAACGAGCGACGCATCGTGAGCACATGAGGTGAGAAGCTAGATTCTTGATACGTGAGCACACGCATCAAGCAGTGTACGTGAGCACACGTTACACAATCATACCTTCTAGTGCGTGAGCACACGCACTCTCTCCGACTCTCGTGGGCACACGTGAGCATCCCCGACCCGATCCCCGTACCGTTCCTTCGTTCCTCACCGACCGACCTGGGGCTGTTTATGGGTGACACTTGTTCTGATAGATAGATACTTATACGAACCGACACTCACTTTATTCCAGGTACCGACTGTCCGGTCCTATCCGACCAAAAGGTAATCCGACTCACCTGTGTCCGCTTTGCCTGTCACCTACTTGTTTGGCTATCATTGATTAATCTTTGCTAATTGTTAATATTGAATAATCTTTTGTTGCTTACTAGTTTCACTCACGTAATCAAAAATATAGCTTTTCTTATTTTTTTTTGCAATCAAAGTTAATTCTTTTCTTTGCTTTCTGCTCTTTTTAACTAAACTCAAATCCTTTTGTTTGATTAATTTATTTGTTATATTTGTAAATAATTAATCGTTAGTTTATTAATAAAACAACAAATACTTGTTACCGAACTATTACAACTTATCATTATAAGCCACCACCTGATCCCACCGTTACAAACTTTGTAGTCATCGCTTCTGCGATTACCTCGAAAATTTTCCACAACATTTTTGAAGCTAACACATGCAGCTTTCTGAATCCCAGTCATCTTAGTTGGAAAATTGTCATCTTTCAGCAATTTACTTATGTCTGGTCCATCGAATATTCCTTCTTTTAATTTGGCATCAGATTTATAGGAAAATTCAGATTCTAAATATTTGTAGCATTCATAGCTCTCACTCAAAGCTTTTAAAAATTGTTTTATAATGCTCAATTTGATATGTAAAGGAGGTAGTAAAACATTTTTATGGTCTACTAACGGACTGTTAATAACATTATGATGTCCAGATTCTAGAGAATTTCTCTCAGACCAATTGTAGTCAGTTTAATGTTCTTTACGATCTCTGCTGTCCTATTAGAACTTGAAACATGGGTACTTTGTAAATCCAGATTGCTGTCCTGCTGAAGGGAGGGGGGGCCAACATAGAGGAAATAAACGCAAACGGCTACTCTTAAGCCGGTCGTTTGAAGAAAAAAAGGTGCGTTACAAAAGAAAAAGATAAAAAGGCATACGAAATTAACAATATTCCATGGAGTTTTTCCGTCCTTTCATTCACTTAATTTGGAAATGAGCTTAAAATAACCCAGTATAGTAATGTTCGAGAAATATTCGAACAGGTACAAGCGAGCGGCTTGTACACACACACACGTTCACGTGTGTGCAAGCCCGCGCGTAACTCCCACTGCGAAGCAAGAGATGGCGTTGCGCCGCGGCACGTGCCGACGGCATCTCTGCTATCTGCGCATTGTTCGCGATCTCGGCCCTTCTCGTTTCTGCACTCGACTAAGCAACATCTTGTGTGTGTCTCGTGCGAAGACTTTTTTCAACTGCGAAAATCCCCGACGTCACCTCAATAGAAGCTACATCGAGCATCATAACCTTAGACAGCTTCATCAATTCGACAGCTCTAGATCATCTCAACAAGTGCAAGCCAGTCAACAAGGACTTTTTGGCAAGCTCCTTTCAACGCTCTACTCATCGAAGCGCAACTCATCGGTCTGCGAATCGGAGTCAACTCATCGATTGCGACCAGGTAAAGAAACCATCCAGACTGCAATTGAAGACCAATAATGTCTACTGCAGGCATGGTGGAATCTTTTTGTCATCACCTTAACTCTCGGGATTATTTCGGCGCATCTCAATCACACGAGCACACGACGAGTGAAAGTGAGGTTACACGTAGCCATGTGCAATCTCACGTGATCTCGATCAACTCATCCGGCTGCTCACACCTGCGCACGAGAGGATTAATTTAACCTCTTGCGTGTTGCTCTGGTCTGCTCACAAATCAAGTTCAACTCGCTGTGAACTCAAGAGAAGCGTTGCTCAACTCAATGGCCACAGCTCACAGCAAATCAGAGTGGATTAATAAAATGAATCCTTGTATAAACTCTTTGAAAATTAAGTGTGAATTAATACAATCTCGCTTCACGTCGACCGCTCAATTTATCTGTACATTTAC